CGGACACAAATTGCCTAGGGTATCAAAACCACTCAAAATAGTTGGGAGGGGCGTTGTCTGTGTATCTACTATTCTTCTGGCAAAAAGTCCAGAGTCAGACATATATAGAATTTCCGCACCAATGTCAATGAGGTTGAGGTCCAGATACTCTTGGTTGTTTAACTTAAGAATATAACAGTTCCAAAACAAAAGTAGGACAAGTTCAAGATGCTTATTTGATGAGTTTAGGAATTTCTTCCATACCTGCATTTGTTACTCCTTTGTTCTAAACAAACAACTTTTCCATAGATGACAACAAACTTTTTTTCAAACAATAACTTACAGAAAATAAATATTTCATACAACTAAATGCTGTGTTTAAAAATGTAAATACAAGAGCACATGCAAAAATCTCTCACTAAATTATCGACTATCCCTTTCTTTACAGACATCATCAGAATAATTTGCTTGTATACAAGAGATGAGACCTTCCAATTACAAATTCATTTAAAATTAATCTGAAAAAACAAAACAAAAAAAAAACCATAAAAAAAACGGAACAAACAAACAACAAAAAACATTCACCGCATTGTACTTAGTCAAAGTACTGAGCCAGGATTACTCGTTACGCCATGCGCCACTTTTAAATCCACAAGTATTGTTGCGTGTTTCCTATACATGTTTCGAAGAATCAGAAAATCAGAGAATCACAATAAATGAAGCTCTTTTAATTTATAAAAGAGGTAGACAACTAAAGTCATATTAACAATGAACGGCTAAATAAGAACTTAGGAAACAGCTGCTCCCTCCTGTATCCACGCCTACCTTATTCTCTCGCTAACTTTATTTCTTAGAAAGTAACTTGAGTATGCCATTTTTAAATCTCCTTTTAAAACCATAAATAATTTTCTGTCAAGTGTAAGACAGCGTTGAAACATAGCAAATTGTAATATATTTCAAAAAAGACAAAAAAAAGACATGTCAACCAAAGGTAGAAAAATTTATCGGTAGACGCTCAGACCACATTTATAATACAAAGTCTCTGAGAAAATAAACAACCAATATACTGTTACCTTTAAATTTCTGACAAATCTGTCTTACTTATGTAACAGTTGTCAAATATATCAAAGACGTGACATACCTTTATAAATAATTGTAATACGAGACAATTTACGAAAACAACTCAAATATCTGTAACAAATATACTCATCAATATTGATATGAACATGCCTCCAATGTACGTAGGGAATGCATGTATCCCTAATCTGTTTTAGAAAAATTTCAAAATTTGTACTGACTGCATAGTGAACAGAGCAGATCATGTTCAGACATCATAGATCACAGTACCGGCAGATCTTGGGCTGCGCTGGTTGCATGGATAGAATCTGTTGCCACCCATGGATCACAGTGCCTGCAGGTCTTGGGCTGATTTTACATATCAACAATTAACATTAAATTCGTAACATTTCTCAAACACTGTATTTTTAAGTACGGCTAATATCAAGCTAATTAGGTTGCTAAGTAACCGTGTTTGTCGCGGAACAATCATCACAAGTATTATGTATGAAGCAGGAAAAACCTGCATCCCAGGTAATATCAATCAAATCAGCCCTATGGGAGTAAAATGTAACAGCAGACGGTTACAATTGTAAGCAAACAAATAACGGATCCTTGCACGTTTCATTTATAGTAGACAGAAAAAATTGTTAATGAAAGGCATTTTATACAAAATAGTCAAACACACAAACAAAAGAATCATTGAACAATGTGCACTCTTCAACTGTTACAAAACTGACTGCCATGTTTATTTATACTGAGAACTGATTCGAGTACAGATTTTAGCACAGTGAAATCATGCACACCACTGAGTATTGGAGCAGCTATAGAAAGGAAAACCACTGAAACCTGTAACACTGTAAGACTGTGACAAAACTAGCTGCTGTCATATCATATACAGTAGTGTTGATCTCCTTTCTGAATCAATAGACGGACAATGTATTGACAAATCTATCCTCAAACTTGTTATACCGATCCCAGTGAACTGTGGTGCTTTAATACAAGGGAGACAATTCTTACAATGCAAAGGGAGAGTAATCTTGATACAATTTTGAAACAGAAAAAAAAAGGAAAAGTAATTCAGTCATGACTGAAAACAGATGACTTCCTAATTATGTCCCTTGATACCAATTTTATAACTACAAAGATAACTGCCAAAGTATTTTTTTATAGATTGAAGACCAGTCTCTGAATTCAGTCCTGTCATTGGTCAATTTCAAATCCATGTCCAGAATCTAACCAATCATATTGCAAAGTCTAAGACTGGTACAAGAGCATTTCTTCTGAAAAAATTACCATTTCTTTGGTCTTGAAATTAGAATAATTACACAACACAGAGTGCGTCGTAAAGTCTATCTGTAACTACAGAATAATTTGTATTTTTCAACAAAATCTCAATCAAGAATAACAACTTCAGTGATTTTTCTTCCATCCTTAGATGGGTCCAGTAACAGACTAATTCCCAATTGGAAAACTTCCCCAATGTAAAATGTCTAAAAATTTCCATATAACGTTCATAATATTTGACTGTTGTAACAGAGAGGGTTTGGGACATGGCTTTGATCCCTAAAAGATTTAACTGAAACACAACAACAACCAATAAACACTGTTATAAACTGGCATACAGTTAAACATATATCAACTCTTTAAATTGGAAGCACATGTGTTATGAACTTAAGTTCATCTTTACAGGGGAAGTTTCTGACTAAGGGGAGCTAACTCTGTAAAAGGACATTAAGGGAAGCTAACTCTTTAAAGGGAAAATAGGGGATTCTTTTAAGATTAAGGTGAATTTTAAAATAAAGCTTTAAGTCATGGTAATATTTCTACATGACAAAATGAGGCTCTCTTACAGTTACAGATTGGAAATGTGATTGGCCAAGCATACAGATAATCAGGCAAAATACACAAATATACCCTAACCATTGGTTGGGCCCCTAGACTAACAAATGTTAACAAGGGAAGTAAAACATCTATATAATAAGTCACTGTTCAATTATAGTATACACAGGGATGTTAACACTCATATCTAAGAGAACTGATTACTATTCAATTATAATATAAACAAGGGAAGTAACTCTTCAATCTGAAAGGAGACTGTTCAATCATAATATCAACAGGAGAAGTAACTTCTCAATGTTGGAGATGGCAGTTCAAATATAATATCTACAGGGGAATTAACTCTCTAGTCTGAAAGGTGAATTTTCAATCACAACATCAACAGGGGAAGTAACTCCTCAATCTAAGAGGTGAATGCCATATCATAATATCAACAGGGGTGGTAACTCTTCAATCTAAGAGGGGAATGCCCAATTATAATATCAACAGGGGAAATAACTGGTTCAATGTCTATATATCAAAAGATTATCTATCTGTGCGGTAACTATTAAAATACAATTTCTTAAGGGGAGATAAAAGTTATTTTAAAGTTATCTTTTTATTGCAAATTCTTCCAGAAGTAAAGACCATTTGTTAAAGTTTGTTTTAACCAGAAGGCAAACATAAAAATCACTTCAATGGCTTACATACTTTCTTAAAACTAAATACGGACAAATTGAGGCACTCTGAATAGGTGATTAATACCCTTAAAGCACTAAATTGTCACAGTCAACAGAACACATTTCCATGTCACAATTTTTGTACAAAATCTCTTGCAATTTCAATCACTGTAGACCAATTTTTACAACGTAAGCGAGACTTTCTGGTTACATTTCAGACTTGCGATTCCAAACCCAGCACCTTCCTTGCCATTTTATTCTAACCAATCATTCAAACAAGAATGAAAATGTCACAGATCCATTACAGAAGTTCAATCATTTTATGTACTTCTAAGATATTTTCTGAACTCATACGCAAATGCAAACACAACCAACTCTTTAGGACAGCATTAAATTTTGTACAAAACAAAAGAATGCATTTTATCCTAACCCTTTTCAATGTCAGAAAATTCCAACTTAATTATAACTGAAAATACAAGAATAACCTTTTATAAATGACCACACAATATAAAAGACCACATAAAGTAAATGATAACTTATATTGTAAAAGACCACCTGTACAAAATGAAAATTCATTGTTAACGGCCAATGTGTAGTTAAAGTTAATTTGTATACAAGTTAAGAACAGTTACTTGAAGACAACTTGTGATAATTGGCCATCTATCAAGAGTACAAGAACGCGTCCTTCCAGGTTCGCACCTCTATTGTAATATATAACAAAATGTCAACAGGAAGTGATGTTTATAAGGTTACTAGGTAACGTACTGTAAGACTCATACACTGGCTGCCGGTAATAACAGGAATATCTAGCTCCAGGGTAACTGTTTCCGGCAGTAACGACTAAGGCTCTGCTGAGTTACCACTTAACAAATAACACCAAGAGTTGATAGCCAGTGTTTGATTCTTTTTCTTGTATAAAACACGTAAACCATATTTCGAAAACTATTATTTTCATTTAGCACTTTTCTCTTATAGTAGCATATTAATTTACAACTTCATTCATAACAGCAAAAGACGTCATACTAAGAACGCAATTCATTCATAAAACGGATGCGACCTCATTTAAAACATGCCACTCGTCTTATATGGGAGTGTAAGACAGGTTTTTCTAGTACAGAACTTGGCCAATGACATTTAAATGTGACCCAGTAGGTATGTATAAAACTTCAAGAGAAAACCTTCAGTGGTTCTCGATAATTTCAAAAAAATCCTAACAAATCTCTACGCCTACAACATCAACGCTGATGTGAATATAACGGTCCAAATATTTTCGAAAAAGACCAGCTAAATATATCTTTACACATAAAATCAAGAAATCGTTACAATTTTTTTACTTTTCTTCATCTTTTAAAAAATTTTTTTAAGACAAAACCGTATGCCACTTATCCCAGTAACAAACCTCACTGATGAAGGATACTTAAATGTTTTATATAATGCATCAACAGTATAGATAAAACCATAACATACCTTTATATCGCATTATTCAGGCAAGTTACAGTCCATCAATATATAGATAATCACACTGTAGTTTGGTATTTTGCGTCCACAAAAAAGTGTATCTTGTCTACAGAAATAACTTTGTCACACTTTTACGTTCTGCTCGGAAAATCTGCAAAATATTAGGACATACATCAGGAGAGTAAATGGAGAAATAGACCGACATTATCTACTGGAAATAAATAATTGATATATATATATTTGTATACATACATATTTACATTTTGCACATTTTACTCTTCTGACATTTTAAACTATATAAATTTCTGATTTTTCAGGCTTCCATTAAGTTTTTCTGTATATTTTCTAATTTTTTTTTTTTTTTTTTCATATATGATTTTTCCATTTCTTTTCGTTTACAGCCAGACAAAAATCAATTCAAATGGATAAGTAGTTAGGTGATTTTCAGGGAAAGACGCTTCGGCTCTAAAATTCAATATATAAATAAGTAATCACACTTTCTTTCTCCAATCACCCATAATTTAGTTCAGTTTCCGTGACAAATGTGCAAAATAATACAGTTACTTTTCTCTTCGCATCTGTTTTTTTCCCCCTTCGTTCTTTTCATACTTCACTAAAAATTCTAATCTAGGCTTGGTTAATATAGAGATATATCAATGTAAGCAGTAGGAAATATCAATGAAAGCTCGTCATCGGATCTTAACATCTGAGAAGGCAATAATTGGTCGTACAGATTTCGTCTTATTCAAGGTTTTAATATTTAAGTGAAAAAAAAAAAATCTTTCTAGAAAAACACAGATCTACATAAAATAAGAATCTTGGACTAAAAATCTATATTAACAGAAGTCTCTATAAAGGAACGTCCCTCACATTCAGTGTGACAGAAAAAAGCAATAATTGGTCATTTTGACGGACACGAGTCGAGGTTTTTTCGTATAATCCCCCGGTGATTTATCCGATATAATCAAACATTTATTTTGTTTGTTTAGATTAGCCTCATGATAGCAATATACCACAACATTGCCATTTACCAAGACATTGTCAGCTACAGCAATATTGCCGTGTTGCCATATATCAAGATATTAACATTAATTACATCAAGACACTTCCAGTTATGATGAAATTGCCAAGTAAAAAGCCATATAATGCCATTTATATCCAGATATTGCCATTTATTTCAAATTGTGATGACTTGTTATGTTATTGAGTCATTACGCAGGCTGCCGTTTTATAACCGGACATAATGGTAAGGTATTAAATTGCCATATAAAAAGAGTTAGACATTGCCATATATCAAGACATTGCTATATTCTGGGTTGCAGTTTAGGGCCTTGTAAGGCCGTACCAGGTTATATTCTGGGGAAAAGGGGACAGCTGAGAGCCTGTACCTGGCTTTACTTTTGGGAGCACCCCACTGTTTAGAGCCTAGTCATAGCCGTGGAAGATATACTGCTTACAAATTATGTAGAGGCTATGTCTGTTTTTTAATCTTGGTGAACAGTTTAGAGCCTGATCCAGCTACATCTGGCTATATTCTGGGAGTTTAATGCCTAGTTAGGCTATGTCTGACTTTATTCTAGCAGACTCTTAGAGTCTTGTCAGGCTTTACCTTTCAATACTTGGCTATATTCTGGTAGCATAGCTTAAAGCCTGGTCTGGCAATGCCTCTTAATATTCTGGAGTCATAGTTTAGAGTCTGGTCTGGCAATGCCTCTTAATATTCTGGAGTCATAGTTTAGAGTCTGGTCTGGCAATGCCTCTTAATATTCTGGAGTCATAGTTTAGAGTCTGGTCTGGCAATGCCTCTTAATATTCTGGAGTCATAGTTTAGAGTCTGGTCTGGCAATGCCTCTTAATATTCTGGAGTCATAGTTTAGAGTCTGGTCTGGCAATGCCTCTTAATATTCTGGGGTCATAGTTTAGAGTCTGGTCTGGCAATGCCTCTTAATATTCTGGAGTCATAGTTTAGAGTCTGGTCTGGCAATGCCTCTTAATATTCTGGAGTCATAGTTTAGAGTCTGGTCTGGCAATGCCTCTTAATATTCTGGAGTCATAGTTTAGAGTCTGGTCTGGCAATGCCTCTTAATATTCTGGAGTCATAGTTTAGAGTCTGGTCTGGCAATGCCTCTTAATATTCTGGAGTCATAGTTTAGAGTCTGGTCTGGCAATGCCTCTTAATATTCTGGGGTCATAGTTTAGAGTCTGGTCTGGCAATGCCTCTTAATATTCTGGAGTCATAGCTTAAAGCCTGGTCTGGCAATGCCTCTTAATATTCTGGAGTCATAGTTTAGAGTCTGGTCTGGCAATGCCTCTTAATATTCTGGGGTCACAGTTTAGAACCTGGTCTGCCCAAGCCTGCTTATATTCTAGGGGTAACATTTTAGTAGAACCTTGCCAGGCTGTACAAGGTTATATTCTGTGGGAAGGGCAAATGAAAGCTTGTACTGGCTCCTGGCTTTATCTAAACTGCTATCTCTCAACATTTAAGGATATGGTCAGGCTAAGTCCAGCTTTATTTATCCAGGGGATACAGTTTAGAGCCTGATCTGTTTAAAATTCAGCATGTTAACGGTTAAGGTATTAAGCAGATCAATTTAAATAGAAAATGAATATTACTATTCAACCACTATCATCATTAGTCATAAATTTATAGCAAATAACGGAGTCAATATAAAAATACCATTATTCTAAAAATAAACCAGTCTGCACTTGTTACACCCTTAAACTGAAACTACAGAACAAATTGGACAACTTGGTCCTAAAAGAACAACAACAACAACAATAACAACAACAGCAGCAAAAGAATTGGTCATGGGCTTTTCCCCCGGAAAAAAGATTGTAAAGTTGATTAGGTTACAGTAAGCCTTTACGCAGGGATAATACATTTTCAACCAGATAGTGATGTAGACATAATTTGTAATCAATATATCTCGCAGAAAAACGGCTCTTGTGCCGTTGATACTAGAACACTCTTGAAAACTAATACACTGATATTGTCTAAATATAGGTAGTAGCCGTGAATGACTGAGGATGGCAAATAAATATTGATTCTCGTTGTTTTCGCCTTTAAAATGAAAGGAAAAGCGGAGTGAAATAAAAACACAACAGGAACAAAGAGACTTGAATTTTAAGTAACAATGACAAGAGAAAAAAAAAATTTTTTTTTGATGTCTAGCTGGTAAATTTCAACATGAAATATAGTAATTCTAAAGCTGAATAAAGACTTTGAATGAGATATATAAATAGTTCATTGTTTTAGTACGGAAATCAAACCACAATAACAATGTCATTTCTCTATTTTATTGATATTTTTTACGCTACTTATATTGACAGACTTTCTCTGTTTGGAAAGTTAAACAGTCCATCCTCAAACACAACGATTTCAGGATAAAAAATTCCTTAAATTAACGCAAACCCACAGCGGATACACAAAATTAACAGTACCGTGCCTCGCAAGCCTAAACAATTCAATAAGTACCATGTCTAGCAATAACATTAGCACCTCCTACTTCTGACCTTTCTTAGGAGCTAATATATTCCAACTTGTACCTGCGAAAAAACAGGAAATTGACTTGTTCCTTATCCACTGTGAACCTAACATGAATCTAATGAGAACATAATGTGAATCTAATGTGAATCTAATGTAAACCTAATGTGAATCTAATGTGAACCTACTGTGAATTTAATGCAAAACCTTATGTAAACCTACTGGGAACATATTGTGAATCTAACGTGAACCTTATGTAAACCAAATGTGAACCTAATGTAAACATAATGAGAACCTACTTGGAACATAATGTAAATCTAATGTAACCTAATGTGAATCAATGGCTTGTCAGAAGCAACTTTGTAGATTTTGATCAAACTGCACCACAAAATGCATAACATAAACAGACATTGTTAATAGTGGCATAACAATACTATTATCAAAACTAGAACTTAATATTTCACCTTGTGGAAATCAAAAATGATCAGTCTTTGCCAGTATAGAGCCAGACCAGCAGTACCAGTGTTATAGCCAGGCCATTTTAGGCCTTACTTACTTGTTAACTTCCTACCAAGGGTGACTTGTATAATGTGTTGTCTACCAGCACCAGTGAGGTCTCATCTTATCCCGGTAACTGTTAACTAGCATACTGGATCTGAAAACAACAACACAAAACTATTAACTGGTAAGTGACTTTTTTTTGCATAAAAATTTCGCATAAAAATTTATTAAGGCAGTATAATTTAATAGGAATTCTCTTTATAAAAGAAACAGTTGAAAAGTCTCAACTCAAATCTTGGCAGTTCATGAAAATTTCCAATATATATTGCCTCAATTATCTCAAGTTATTAAGCACATAATCATTGGCTTTTGTGAAAAAACACTCTTTATATCATATATAATTTTATACTTTCATTCAATAGCAAAAAAAAAAATCAAAATCAAAGGGCAGATATCTAGAAATCAGACTGGACTTGTCTGACTTCCACTTTGGCACTTTCCATTATCAAGCTTCAGGGAAATCATGATGAAAATTTGGAAGTTGCTCACTCACATCTACCAGAGCCTGGTCAAACAGTATGATGACCAAACGTTTGGTCAGACAAACAGCCTGGTCTGGCCAAAGGCTGTAGCGACTTTGGATATATTTCCAAACAACCATTTACATTGGGCCAGATAACCTGTCAAAAATCTTTCAAATTTGTAACTTACATTGTATGGTTATGTAGCATCTGCATCTTTATGTTACAAACTTAACATGTTTGCAAGGATATCAACCCTAAACCTAAGAATCAATCATTGCTGAGTCTTACATCATACATACAGGCTGGCTCACAGAATTCTTCTACATTATCAACTTTTGTATTATCTCCCTTTGTATTCAGAAAGTCTACAGTCTCTTTGTAACATTATAACAGTAACCTTGACCTACTTTTGAAATTGTATCAGTGACCTTGACCCTTAACCTACTTTTGAATCAAGAGAAGGTAAACAGAATCACGAAAGTATTCAAGTAATAATAACTGTAGAATTTCATTTTTAAATTTTCAAAGTTTTAAAATATTATAAATATAAGAGTATTTCAATATGCAAAATGAAGCAGAAATTCGAAATATACATATTTTTTTTACACAATGGAAGATTACAGCATGTTTGTTGAACCATACAGTTGTGTGTTTAAGTTAACTCCTATAAACTCGTCTTACATGAACTGATTCACCTTTCATTGTATCCTGGTCTACCACATTCTATACTTATAACATACAAAAGCTAAAAATTATATGCATAAAATTTGCATGTAAAAAATCAGTGTTACCAACCAAAAAAAAAACCTACATCAATTTTATATCAACATCTACCACACTTCATAAAATATCTTTACCATTAGTCAAACATCCTTTTCTTTCTAATGTATGGAGAGAGAGAGAAAAAAAGTTGAGGTATCTATTACATAATCTAACTTCTATCCAAACATTTTCCTCTCCCAAGTTACCCCACACTAACACATTTTCATTTTTGTAGAAGTTTTTTTTAGAGATTTAAGTCACAATAACAGAGATTATAAGATCTTACAGCATTTCCCCCAGCTTTACTAATAGTAAAAGCAATTATTAAACATTTCATATGCATGCAAGCTGGCCAATGAAAACAGTTTTTTCCACTGCTGAGTTATCAAATATTTTATTCAGAGGAACCCTGTTGGTAAGGGGCAGTCTGCCAAATAAGTCCTATAATAAGCTCACATACTTAATTAAGTTGGAGGGAAACTGAGTGTTGCAAAGAATAAATCAATTGAAAGCACAGGTAAGGCAACATGACACATCAGGACAGGACAAATGGAATAGCATGATAGATAAATGGAATAGCGGAAGAGACAAATGGAATAGCAGAAGAGACAAATGGAATAGCAGGACAGACAAATGGCAGGGCAGATAAATGGAATAACAGAAGAGACATTTTAATGGCATGGCAGGAAAGACAAATGGAATAGCAGGACGGACAAATGGCAGGGCAGATAAATGGAATAACAGAAGAGACATTTTAATGGCATGGCAGGAAAGACAAATGGAATAGCAGGACGGACAAATGGCAGGGCAGATAAATGGAATAACAGAGGAGACAAATGGAAAGGCAGGACAGACCAATGGAATAGCAGGATATATAAATGGAATAGCAGAAGAGACAAATGACATGGCAAAACAGACAAATGGAATAGCTGGATAGATAAATGGAATAGCAGGACAGACAAATGGCAGGGCAGATAAATGGAATAACAGAAGAGAATAATGGCATGGCACAAGAGACAAATGGAATAGCAGGAGAGATAAATGGAATAGCAGGACAGACAAATGGAATAACAGAAGAGACAAATGGCATGGCAGGACAGACAAATGGAATAGCAGGATAGATAAATGGAATAGCAGGACCGACAAATGGCAGGGCAGATAAATTGAATAATAGAAGAGACAAATGGCATGGCAAGACAGACAAATGGAATAGCAAATAACATCATGTTATTTCTATTTGGTACAAAATTAATAACAACATGATCATGTTATTTCTATTTCCACGATCATATTTCAAAAACCATATGTATTATTACACGTAGAACTGTTCACATTTACAGACAAACAGATCAATCTCTAGGTCTCTGCACCATAAACAATTGTATAATGACAAGTCTACCAGAGATGGCATAAAAAAAAAAACTTTTTGGGATGAAAGTCTAATATTTCATGTCGATTATTCCAGAAACCATCCTATGTAAACTATCTCTATTAGAAACCACGCTCTCTAAATAACCTACTATTGCACTGAAATTCTGAAATTATGTAACACACGAGAAAAAAATATTCAAGTTCTGTGAAACGATTATTTTAATTGGAAAAATTATTCTTGTGTGTGTTGTGTTGTTTTTTGTTTGGTTGATCATTTTTTCCATTATATTTTAGGAATACTTTATGATATTCATGTTTGCAAAATCTGCAAGATACACAAATATTTATTAATGCGACATTTAATTTTAAGTTAACACAGGACACTTGTCAATTATTAAAACATCTTTTCCCAATAATACGCCAGGTCATATTAAACATCAGCAAACGTTGTGTTGTATTTATCGCATTTGACAGCCCGATCCCTTGCAAGATTGTTACAAGTTACAACAAGTCACATTGTAACTCGTCGCGTAAAACAGGCAAAACTCTTGTGCAATCATTCTGACACTACGGAGGCAATCGGCGTCTCATCGATCCATTTTAACGAAGTTCAGTGGACATAAAATTTATATATTTATATTTCACATCTAACCATCACACTTGTAACTGCACACGTTCATTCTTTCAACAGTTATCATTTCCCATCTGCAGGGCCTTAAAAAATAATATCTGTACATCGAGCAGTTGCCGAAGCGACCCTGCATAGTTATCGCACCCATCTTTTGCAATTATCGAATATATACAAAACCAAGCTTGCATAATTAAACGTTTATTTTACAATACATTAGCTACCACTGATTTTTTTCATTTGTCAAATCGTTGCTGTTTTTCCTTTTATTAAGATTTAGAGAAAAGCTTTATTGAAAATCAACAGTGTGTGAAAATATACTCGCAAAAAATTTCACTTGGCTTTTAAATTCGTCAGCTTTAAACGCCTAAAAATCAAGTGCTATCGCTACAATCATAAAGGCACTACGGTACGTACACAAATAAAGAATAAACAGCTTATGTATACCTTTTGTACACCATGCCTGATACCTATCTGGTTTTCTTCTTTCCTTTTTATAAATGAGAATAAATTTTAGTTAATTTTCTACGAGGACAATTATACATTGTTAAACTGAGATCACATGTCTATTGATATAAAACTATTACATATTTTGCACATGTCACACATTAATGTCTTTAGATTATATAATTTGATCATGCAACATATCGGTTCAACAGAATCCATATTTGACAAGTCTTTCCTAAGATAGTTGAATGCCCATGAAATAATCTGTTGTAAGTTTATTATATATTTTGCCTTTTTTGGTTAATTTGTCCACACAGTATCATGTACAATTTGTGCCACTATGACAAATCTGTCCAAATATATCAAGTCACTGGAACAAATCATCCTCATATTTTGTCATCATTAGAAATCTGTCCTAATATTTTTGTCATTGTGGCAAATCTGTCCTTTTAAATAACCTAATACTTTTTTGTCATTGTGAATAAATAATTTGAGCCGCACCATGACAAAACCAACATAAAGTGTTTGCGATCAGCATGGATCCAGACCAGTCCGCGCAGTCTGATCAGGATCCATGCTCTTCGCTTACAAACCCTGTAACAAGTAGAGAAACTGGTAGCAAACAACATGGATTCTGATCAGACTGTGTGGATGCCCAGGCTGGTCTGGATCCAAGCTGGTCTCAAACCCATTATGTTGGTTTTGTCATGGCGCGGCTCATAATTATGTCCTTATATATTTTGTCATCCAAATACAGATCTGTCTTAATAATGTGTTACAAATCAGTTCCAGTACTTTTTGTAACTATAAATAAATCAGTCCTGACACTTTTCTCCATTGTGGGCAAATCTGTACTGATGCTTTTTAACATTGTGTATAAAGCTGTCCAAATAAATTCTGTCACTGTGGCAAATCTGTCCTAATATTTGTTGTCACTGTGGCAAACCTGTCCTAATATTTGTTGTCATTGTGGCAAGCCTACCCTAATATTTGTTGTCATTGTGGCAAGCCTACCGTAATATTTGTTGTCACTGTGGCAAACCTGCCCTAATTTTTTATTGTGGCAAATATGTCCTAATATTTGTTGTTATTGTGGCAAATCAGTCCTAATATTTGTTGCCACTGTGGCAAATATGTCCTAATATATGTTGTCACTGTGGAAAACCTATCCTAATATTTGTTGTTAATGTGGCAAATTTTTCCTAAACATTTATTTATCTATTTAGTTTAAGCTTTAAATTAACACATTTTTCTCGACTTTGATCAGCCATCAAGTGGCATGCTGTTTAAAGAAACATTAAAAAATTGTTACAGCACATTTCATTCCTCCCATCCTCAAATAATTATATATTACTCAACATTTATTCAGAATAAAGTACATGACACTTAAAAATCTCATCAAACATAAGCAACATGTAAAATAATTG